ATTTAGTGAAAAATAAATACTATTGCAGGTGATTGTGTGGATACGGAAAAAGTATTGAAATATATGGCAGATCATTGAAGTTGAAAAATTATTTCTTTGTGCCTGGATTGGGCAGAAATCTTCCTGAAGAGAGTTGTCATTTTATAGTTTTTCCTTCTTCCTGGATTTCTATGGTTCTTACAGCCAGTTTCTTTCTTCATACCAATGTCACGGTGAATATACCCTACATCAGTAAATTCAATATGGTGCAGTGGAATTGTTCCTTTCACATCATTAAAAGTTGATTATTACAATTGACACAAGGTTTTAAAACAACTGTGTAATTAGTGACCCCAAATGACTTTGTGTGTAGTATTTTTTTTTTATTCCGTTATTTGCCATGCAGTATTTATGTTTTTGGTGTAATTGCCTTGTGCTTCCCTCCTCCTACTCCTTTCAGAGTTCCGTTTTGGATTAAGTAATTAAACATCCACTGCTAAATTCATGTCATTCCTCCAGAGCCCAAGCTTCCCTTAGTAGTTTGCTTTGCCCACGGGAAAGAGAACATTTGCTAAATGTGCCATTTCAACAGAAGTAGTTTTGGGAAGGATTTTTTTGGAAATGTTCAGATTGCCTTGCCTCTTTTACTGGTGGCTGTCAATGTTTTTCTGTATTTCATTCAGACTTACCATATAGAAATCAGAGTTGTTGAAATAAAAACTTATAGACAACTACAGCAAGTACAGTTCATCTTGGAAAACTCATTTTAAAACTTTGTTTTATGAATTTATTTAGCATGAAAAAAGCAGTGTCGCTGATAAATGCAATAGATATAGGAAGATTTCCTCGATTGCTCACCCGAATTCTGCAAAAACTTCACCTGAAGGTTTGTATTTTTGTGTTTCTATAGCTTGATTCCACTGAAACTCTGTTATTTGGAGAACTTTTTGCCCAGGATTGTGTTCTCCAATGTGTTCTCAGGAACACTGGGGTCTATGGAAGATATCATAATGGTCCATGGTCAAAAGTTTGGGAATCTCTTTCTTTAATAAAGTTAATTTTTTTTATTATGAAACTTTTCAGAGTATTTTACATGCTAGTGTTTGTGGTAAATATTCAGGGGCGAATATAGTGTGTAACATTTTCCAAATGTGTTTGGACTTGGAACTGTTTTATCATGGTGTATATTTTGGGACTGTTATTCTGTGGAACATGCTTTTGGAAAATTCTGAGTTCATGCTTTCATTCTTCCTCTTAAAAATAATTCTGTGATATTTACTATCAACCAATATTTAATCTTTCATTTAATTTTGTTTCTCTTTCACTTTTACTTCAAAGGTATGGTTGTTTTACACATCACTACTTGGTCACAAATCCAAGTTAATTTTTTATTAGGTTACAAAAATTTAATTTTATCCAAAACTTGTTTATGGAGCACCCACTAACTGCTCTGCCTGGTGCCAGGCATCCCCACCCAATGAGAACTGGGGACTGTTGCACTTTCCTCTTCTTTTTTCAGCCAGGAGCCATCCCCAAAGCCATGCCCTTTCTCCCTCTGAAGTGTCTCTCAAATCCAGGTTCTCCTTACAGTCTTAGTTCAGATCCTTATTATTTCTCCATTGGACTACAGTAGTTACCTTCAAATTGGTATCCCTGCCTGTAGTCTTCTGCCTTCCTATTGCTTCTTCCTAATACTATTCCAGTTATCTTTCTGAATTTTTTTTTTCCTAAAAAAAGATCGTATTTTTACAGTGTTCAAAGCCATCAGTGACTATCACATGGAGAAAAGTTCAAAATCCTTAGCATTGTCTTATAATGTCATGAGACCCATTACAAAATGACTGCAATCTACATTCTCCCCACTTTGCAAGTGCTGCAGTCACACTGTACAGTGCTCATTTACTACTACATGCCATAAAATTTTTCACCTATGTGTCTGTGCATATACTCTTCTTACCTACAAATGTTCTTCTTCCCTTCTTTAGTGAGTAAACTATTCATCTTACAAGGATTTCACATCTCACTTTCTGCAGAGTTTGTTGTTCTCTTTTCCGTGTTTCTAAACATTCTCACCTCACTTTAGTTCTGCATCATGATTAGAGATTGTTTCATGATTAGAGAGCAACCAGATTTCTAAACCTCTTCACACTCTTCCTTTCTCTGGCCTTAAATATCTCGAGGATCAGTTCTTACTCATCTTTATGTTTCCTGTACCTAACACATTGCTGCTTATACATTTGGCACTCAGTAAATATTCTTAGAATTAATTCCTTCTTTGCCACAAGAAACACAAAACAAATGTAGGTCCTCTAAATTTCTGACTGTAATTTGGGATGTAGATGGAAAGAGAGGAGGAATAACAACAATAGTAGCAACATTCTGTGGTATTTGCTATTTATAAACATCAACATTGCTCCCTCTGTGACTGGTACTGTTCTAATGACTTTATATTATTAACTCATCTAATCCTTACAACAACGTGAAGTAGGTACTATTGTTACCCTTATTTTATCCATTAGGAAGCTCAGATAGAGATCAATTAAGTAACTTCCCCAAGGTTATATAGCTTGCTTATAAGGCAGTTTGACTCCCTTACCCCTTTAGACTAAACCTCAAGAAAAAGTATGAAACCTTATCCAAATCAGCCCAAAAGTGAATGATGTAGGCGATAGATACACAAATCCTGCTATATTTCCTGACCTGGGCATGCTTTCTTAAATATGTAAAGCAGTATGGGACAAGAAACTCTTATACATATGTTTTGCTCTTCATACTGAGGGACGATGAAACATTTGCAGGGAAAATCGTGATGGTGTTTTCTGACCCTCTCAGTTACCTCTGGAGTTGAGAATAAGTTAATATCTATCTTAGAGTTAACCGAATGGCTGAAGCATTCCACAGAGGTGCTTGAATCCTCTGCCATCAGAAGTAGGGGAATGGAGATAAGAAGATGTGCTTGTTGAGAACTGAAGCAACTAAAGACAAAAATAGGTATATAAATACTTGCTTGCTAAGAAAATGTCAGGCAAGATGTAATTTTTTTTTTCCTGGACAATTTCAGGGGATGATCTTGTAGAGGGGCTCCTAATGTGATAAGGGCTCTTAAAGTTGACAGGGAATTTCAGAATCTGCTACCTTTTGTATATTCTAGTTCTCTCAAGTTGCCCTTTGTCTAGAGATAAGCAGAGCCTTTAGAACAGTGGTACTTGAGGCAGGTAGATCAATAAAGAGGTTTAGAGATTTGGTTTCCACTCTAATGTCATTAGCTTGGCACTTTGATTTTTATCAAGTTTAATCTCATTATAGGCAGAAGATATCTGTTTTTGTCCAGATTGGTTCCTTGGAATTCCTGTTGGGAATAAACATGAGGAAATTAAGACAGCTTAGGTATAGAATATGGACACACCTGAGCGTGAATCTAGGCGTCCTCTTTGAACTGGCCATCTTCCTGGTCCTTTCTAGTTTATAAAAATACATGGAGATTTTTTTTTTTTTTTTTTTTTGGTTACAATTTGTGCAGAGTACTGCTGGCACCCTGGGTACTTTGATATTAATGTCCAGAGACTTTTAAATATGTTGCGACGTGAAGGACAGTCCTGCCTAAAGAATTATCCCATTTACTATGCCAATAGTCTGCACTGGGAAACACTGAGGGAAGTCAGATGAACTTTCATAGCTGGGAACTTTAGAAATAAATATTTGTGGCCTCTTTGTCAAAAATAGCTGTCACAACTCATGCAATAAAAAAACCTCATATACTTAGCTTTATAGGAGAGACTTTTAGGCTCTCATACAAAGCCTATTGATGTGAGTATGCCTTATGTCTAGTTCTGAGAGGTCAGTTATCTGGGTTCCTGACCAAGACAAACTGGGGGATAAGGGTGCTGCTATAATGGGACAGATAGGCAATTTCAGGAAATGACTGATCATGGAATGAAATGGAAGACTTATGAAAAACAGGCACAAGAAATATAAAAGCGCAGAGGTGTAAGGGTTTTTTTACTGAAGTGAAATATCATTTCTTCTCAGCAGTTCTTTAGGATACTATAGCACAGAATGTTGATGCTCATAATTATGACCTGAATCATCACAAGAAATTAGTTTAATCCAATTTACTTTGTTTACAGAAGTCTAGATTGGGAGCCATACATTTTAGAAATTTACAAATTATTAGTTTGCTTTCACCATGGATTTGCTTTTCTTTAAAGTTTTCATTCCATATATGAACACATGAATCTTCTGTCAAGTACGAATTTTGAATACCTGAATGTGTGCTAATAGATTGCTATTTGTATTGTAGGCTGAGAGCAGTTTCAGTGAAGAAGAGGAAGAAAAACTTGAAGCTGCATTTTCTCTAGAGAAACAAGATCTTCACCTAGTTCTTGAAACAATATCATTTATTTTAGAACAGGTATTTTTATTGTCTCACATTTCCTAACCATTGTTTGTTTACTACATATTTGTAGTGCTGTGATATCTATAACATTCTGATTGTTTTACAAAAAGTGTGCAAGATAGAAGCTGTGCATATATTTTAAACAAGAATTTCAATATAGTAAAAAATATTTGAATGTATGATTTCTTTCCACAGTTTTTCAGTCTACAAAACAATCTTAATGTTAAGCCGCTTTAGTAAAGTATTTGACAATATGAATGGAGACTTCATTGACTTGAGACAGTTATAAAAGATTTGAATTTATTGTTACTTGGTATAATGATTTGCAAAGTGAACACATTTTATTTAAGAAATTAAATAAATGATTTGGTAGGATATATTTGACTAGGATGATAAAACATTTAGAAAAGAAGTATTGTCATAATTCTTCCTACTGAGCTGTCCTTCTGCATCCCTTCTTCTCATCTAATTTAGTTCATTATGTAAACTTCTGTTCAAGTCACATCTTCTTTCCTTCAACCTTGGCCCATTGTGCTTGCAGTTTTTCTTTATTTGGATTTCTTTTATCCTTGGCTCATTGCAGTAGAGCACATTGTTAGTCTTTCATTGTTTCACGTGTCAGTTATGTCTCCTTTACTAGAGTTTGACTTTCTGGGGGCCAGGATCATATTTTTTGTGCATCTTTTATATCCTAGCACATTGCTGGGCTTAAAATAGATACTCAATAAATTTCTTTTGGTTGATTAAATAGAATACCCATGAAATAAAAGTTTAAGTAATACTGTAGCTTCATGAGCATTATAGTGAACAGATACTGATAGGAGGACAAGATGCCAGGTACCTATTACAGCCTTATACAGATTATAGATCATAAAGAAAACTGTAGTTCCTACTGTTGATCGGCCTTCAATAGAAGAAAAGGAAAATTGAGTAGGATAATGCAGCATGGGGTTTATGGGAAAGTTGTTCTAGAATAATGTAAGAAACAGAAGAGGTACCACCGTTAACAAATTCTATAATTTTGTATTAAATATTACCTAAGAAGTTGATGGATGAAGGTAGTTTTGAGAAAGTGCTTCTTGGAAAAATTCTTAGTTGGGAAACAAAACTGTTGCATACATCTTTGAGATAATTAAGTGAAATAAATAAATGAAATTTTAACTAGGCTACTGTATTAGTCCATTTTGTTTTGCTATAACAGAAAACCTGAGACTGGGTAATTTAGAAAGAACAGAGGTTTATTTGGCTTACGATTCTGGAACAGCTGCATCTGGTGCTGGCCTCAGGCTGCTTCTACTAATGGTGGAAAAGTGGCAGGCAGCCGGCAGGTACAAGCAGATCACATGGCGAGAGGAAGCAAGAGAGAAGAGAGGGGAGGTGCCAGGGTCTTTTAAACGACCAGCTGTTGCGGGAACTAACAGAGGAAGAACTCACTACTCCCTCCCCTAAGGAAGAGCATTAGTCCATTCATGAGGGATCTTCCCCCATGATTCAAACAGCTCCCAACACTGCCACATTGGGGATCAGATTTCCACGTGAATTCTGAGAGGACAGTAATCCAAACTCCATCAGTTTACATAGCCAAGGCAAAGAAGTTTTTTTGTTATTTAGTAGATTTAGTACTACTTAAGACACAGGCAAAAATGAGAAAGTTTAGTTTGAAGAATCTAGGCTATTTAATCCTGAATCTTCTAGCCTTTGGTTGTATATATTATAATTCATACAGTAATCAAAAATATCTGCAATAGGAATATGAAATATTGTTTTGATTTAAATTTAAAAATAATTTTGTATTGATTACAGTTCAAAGTATCTGATGAATGTGAAGGATATATGTAATTTTTTTCTCTTTAATAGGCAGTATATCACAATGTGAAGCCAGCAGCTTTGCAACAGCAACTAGAGAACATTCATCTTAGTCAAGACAAAGCAGAATCATTTGTCAATGCTTGGTCTTCTATGGGTCAAGAAACAGTTGAAAAGTTCAGGCAGAGGATTCTGGCTCCCCACAAGGTATAGGATATACTCTCCCAAAGATATTTTTCAATAATATGCATTGTAAATTATTATACCTTAAGAGTTTTTAAAGTGATAATATTTTGTTGAGAGGTAAAGTCAGGTAAAAGAAAGTGTATATACAATATTCCTATACAATTATTTCCACATATTAACATATTTGCTACCACAATGTGATTTAATTTAATTGCCAGCTTAAAATATGCCTCCATAACTTAAGAATAGGAATGTGACAGTCTTTTTCTTTTTTCCCCTGAATGCTTGTGCAGAATGGGTTATTTTTTTATCTGTGTCCCTATACAAAAGGCTTATTATAATTTTTTACTGAATCATATAATTGTTTTCATGTGTCTGGATTAGTGGTTAGCAGAATACCTTGCATGCAGTAGGTGCTCACTTAATATTTGTTAAATTGAGTAGCTAATGGTGAATGACATGGACACTGTAAAAAATAAAAAATAACAGTGTTATAATGCTCTTTAGTAGTCTTCAATTCACTTTTGATGGAGATTGAGATGATCATATAGGTTTTGTCCTTTTTTCTATTAATATGTTGCATTACAATCATTAATTTTCAGATGTTCATCCAACTTTGTAATTCTGGGATAAATCACAGTTGGTCATGTTTTATAACCCCTTTTTATTATTTGGCAGGATTTGATTTGCTAATATATCGTTAAAGATTTTTCCTTCTATATTTATGAAGGTCTGTAGTTTTCTTGTGATGTCTGGCTGGCTTTGGTATCAGGGTAATACTGGTTTCATAAAATTAGTTGTGAAGTGTTGCTCTCTACTCCTCTATTTTCTGGAAGAATTTGTGAAGGATTGGTATTATTTTGCATTTACCAGCAATATATGAAAGTTTCAGTAGTTCCAAATCCTTGTCAGTGCTTGGTAATGTCAGTTGTTTTTATTAAAACCATTCTATTAGGTTTGTAGTGGTATGTTGTGTTTTTAATTTGTGTTTTCCTAATAACAAATTATGTTGATGGTCTTTTATGTATTTACTTGTTAACCATGTCTTCCCTGGTGAAATGTCTATTCAAAACTTTTGCCTAACTATAATATTTTCACATTATGACAGAAGTCTTATTATATTAATATAAAGAACAATCACAGGTATAAATCCTAGCATAGGGAAAGGCATGGGGATTTTTTTGGTTGTTACAGTGTGTGGCAGGTGTTTGTTTTTGTTCTCTTAAGTGTGTGAGTTCTTTATATATTTTGTATAGGTCCTTTGTCAAATAGGTGATTTGCAGATATTTTCTCTCATGTGTAACTTTCCTTTATCATTCTCTTAACAGTGTCTTTCCCAGAGCAAAAGCTTTTAATTCTGATGAAATCTGATATATCCATTTTTTTCTTTCCCTGATCCTACTTTTGGTTTTGTATCTAAGAATTTGTAGTCTAATCCAATGTCACAAAGATATTCTCTTTTGTTTTCTTCAAAATGTTTTATATGTCTATGTTTTACATTTAGGTCTTTGATCCATTTTGAGTTAATTTTGTGTAATACGTAAAGTGCTGGTCAGAATTCATTTTTTCTGCATGTGGATGTGCATTTGTTCCTGCATAATTTGTTAATAACATTATCCTTTCATTACTGAATTTCCCTGCCCTTCGTCAAAAATCATTTGACTTATTTGTGTGTCTTTTTTTGGACTCTTTATTTGATTTCATCGATCTGTTTGTCTATCTTCATGCCTATATTGCACTGCCTTAATTACTGTAGCTTTATAGTAAGTTTTAAGATCAGGTAGTGTGAGTATGCTTAACTTTGTTCTTTTTTTTTGTAATTGTTTTGGCTATTCTAGTTTCTTTGTTTTTCCATATAAATTTGAAAATCAGATTTCCTTGAAATCTGTACTGATGACTATATCTACAAAAAAATCCTGCTGGGGTACTGGTTGAATTTGTGTTTAATTTATAGGTCACTTTATGTGGAAATGACTTTTTAACAGTATTGACTGCATCTCTCCATTTAGGTTGTCTTTGAATTCTTTCATCAGTGTTTTTTATTTTCAACATACAGATCCTGCACGTTTTGTTAGATTTGTACCTACATGTTTTATTTTCTTTTGAGCTGTTATAAGTGATACTCTTTTTAAAATTTTGGTTTCCAATTGTTTATTGCTATTATTTAGAAATACAATTGATTTTTCTATATTGACCTTCTCTCCTTTGACCTTGGTAAATCCACTAATTAGTTATAGCAGTTTTTTTTTGTGGATTCCTTGTGATTTTCTTTCTATGATTTCTAGGTAGTCATATCATCTGTGAATAGTTTTATTTCTTCCTTTCCAACCTATACAGCTTTTGTTTGTTTTTCTTGCCTTATTTTACTGACTAGGACTTCCAGTATGATACTGAATAAGAGTGGTAAGTCTGAACATCTTTGCCTTGTTCCCAAGTTTTAGGAAGAAAGCATTTAGTCTTTCATAATTAAGTAGGATGTTAGTTGTAGGATTTTACGAAATGCCTCTTTATTGTTTTCATCTCTTCTTTTTTTTTTTTGTAACTCTGCATTCTAACTGCTCTCAAGTGTCCTCCACATCTGTTTCATTTATCAATTCTTTCTTCATTTAACAATCTCCATTTAAAAAAATTTCTTCTTGCTTTTTATTATTAGCCTGTTCTTTATTTGTATTTTTCTTTTTTTATAGGATCCATTTTTTCTCAGACTTTAGTAATCAGACTATAGTTAAAAACGTTTTTTCCCTGCTTCCAATAGTAAGTCATTTTTTAGTGTCTTCTGGATGGTAGTTTGTTTTTTTAAAGTATTATTTTTTCCCCATAGGTTGTATTACATTAGCTTCTGTTTAAGAAATGGTTTAATCAGTTATCATATCAAATATGCAAAAAAGGAGGTGAAGGACATGATTAATTGTACATTGATTGGCCCTTTGAGAATGCTGGTTATTAGTTTTTGCTAATTCTGAGTACATGATAGGGTAGCTAATACATTATTTTAATGCCTTCTATGCTTAATTAAGATAATATAATAGAAAACATTTATTGTGTTTACTGTGGGCCAAATACTGTACTAAGTTCTTTAAATCTCACAAAACCCATTAATAGTTCTAGTTTATACTTATAAAATTGAGGCTTAGAGATATTAAATAACTTGCAGCTAAGTAAGTGGCAGAGTTGGGATTTGACACTAATAGTCACATTTCTAAGCCATTATGCTTTACCAGCACGTAGATGTTAGCTGCAGAATTCTTCTGTCAGGCATTATGCAGCACAATTTATATAGTTATGTGTGTGTATGTTTCATATGTTTGAAAAATAAGGAAATAAAACTTTAGAAAGTATGGGCCGGCCCGGTGGCGCGGCGGCGCTCCTACCGAGGGTTCAGATCCCACATACAGACTGGTTCCCGCTCACTGGCTGAGCGAGGTGCGGGCGCGATGCCGAGGGTTGCGATCCCGTTGCTGGTCCCGGTCCGGTACGGGCGCGACACTGAGGGTTGCGATCTGTTGCCGGACACGAAAAAAGACAAAAAGGAAAAAAAAAAAAAAAAAAAATTTAGAAAGTATAAGTAACTTTACCATGTTA